TCATGTTTTGAATGAGATCTCCCGCCACTTGGCCGATGATACCCGAGTACTAACAATAAAAGGCCCATTTTACCTCTCTTGCCTATGCTCTCTGCTACCCTTCCTTGTGGGGTCTTTCTACTAGTATTACCATATCTATCAACATTTTTTTTCACCAATTTTACACTACATTTTTTTTCACCAATTTTACAGTGATTTATTTAGGGCTGAGCATGAAATCCGTGAAATTCATAATCTGATTCAGTTTAGTCCAATTCGATAGATTTAGATTGATTTTTTTAATCCGTGGTTCGGTTCTGAATTGAACTCCACGATTCCTATAGCGACCCCGGTATTTTCCCATATGATTATTGTATCCGGACTTAGGTTCCGTAACTCCTGCCATTGTATTTTGATTGTTACCGTCCTTTATTTTCTTTTTCTGAGTTGGGGGATGCAATGGGCAGGTTTGTAGCAGGTTGGTTGAGCTTGGGAGCAAGGGGTTGCTGCCCAGAATTTTGACTCTTCGCTCGAGCTAGCAGTTATTCGCTCGAGCGAGCTCTTTGTTTTGGTCCGTCGCTCGAGCCAGGATTTCTTCGATCGAGCGAGGATCGCATTTTGTAGTAAGACCTGAGAGCAGAGGTTTTTGGCTCGAGTGAGCTTTTTTTCGCTCGAGCGAGTTAGTTCGTTCTTCGCTCGAGCGAGGGTTCCTTCGCTCGAGCGTGTGTCTGGTTGCAGACCTGAGGGTTTGAGTCCTTCGCTCGAGCTAGATTTCTTTCGCTCGAGCGAGCTTTTGGGTTGTTGGCTCGAGCAAGGCTTCCTTGGCTCGAGCGTAGTTTTTCTGTGTCTGGTCGCTCGAGCGACCAAGTCTTCGCTCGAGCGAGCCTGTCAGGTTTAAATAGGCAGCAGCGTGTTTCAGATCTGTTTTTCATACACTTTCATATTCCAAAACCCTAGTTACGAGTTTTCTCTCCCTCTACACACTTTCTCTATTAGGATTGATCTATTTAGGGTGTGTTTCTACCCTAGATCCTTCATTAAAAAGAGTGTGTGAGTCGAGGGTTTCGTTTTAATCTGAATTGTTGGTTGTTTGGAGCACTTTGAAGTTTGGGTCTTCATCTCCACCTTCTCTTTTGGGGCTATTTCTTCGAGGTAGGGATTTCCTACTCCATTCTATAAGCTTTGTTCTAAGTTTTGGTATTTTGATATGTTGGGGATACTTTGGTAATTTTGGGAAAAACCCTAGTTGTATAAATTAATTAATTTGTATAATTAATTTAAGGGAAATTGGGGAATTTGGTTAAATTCATGAAATTGGGAAATTTATTGATTAAATGGTGTAGTTCGATAATGTAAATCACTCGCCCATTGAATTGTTGATATATTTATTTCCAGTCTAGAAATAACTGTTTTGGGCTATCGGTGGAGGATAGTCGTGCTTGTTGTAGACACTGCATGTGGATTAGGGATAACTGAAACTAATCATTGATTAAGTCATCAATTTTGACTGCTGAATTAATACAGACATTATGTGTATTGATTGTGTGTTGTATATGTTATGTGTTTGCATACATTGTTTTGTGTGGGAGGAGATAGGGGATGGCCTCCATTAGCATCACTTTTATGTGTGCTTATTTATATTGAAGTGTTTTTATTGATACAGCACTAAAATGTGTATCAAACTGGAAGTATGAAGTGTTTTGATTTGAGCCTGAGTCTCATCTGTTTGTTGACATTGGAAGAATGTGAATTTGATATATATATATATAGTTCACTGTTGTAAGTTTGGCCAGGTTCTGAGCCATATTGATAATGTTGGAAAGTAAAATGTGTTTTAGACATTAGTGTCATGAGACTGTATAAAGAGGTAATTGAATATCCTAGTTAACCATCTATTGAATGCTAATGCTTTATTCATTGCTTATATGTGGTTTAGTATATTTCTACTGGGCTGTGGCTCACCCTTTATGGGAACATCATTTTCAGGTTCAGGGGATAAGCTACCTCCAAGGACTTAGCTTGGAAGGACTTGGTTTTTGAAGACTATTTTTAGGTATTTGTTTTTCATTGTTAGTACATGTAAACACTCAAGCCTAGGGCTTTATTTATATTTGAGTTAGAACTCATACTTTTGTGTCCAAGTGTTGGCTTGGAAAGATGTAAGCCAGTAGGGCATTTACTTTGATGTTACATGTAATGCTTTTGTTTAGTAAGACTCTGATGGATATTATAATGAATTATTAAAGTGTTTTCTTTAAATAATGCATGTTGGTGATATACGTATAATGGGTTTATTATGAGGGCGTTACAATTCTGAATTGGAACCGATCCAGACCATATACAAATAGTCTATATTTTTATTATACACCATACCCCATAGTATCTTCTCTTATTCCATATAAAACCTAAACCCAAACCTAAACTCGCATAGGATCTTTTTTTTATTTCTTTTGTTTGTTAGTTTTTAGTTTTAATTTGTAATGGTCTTAATACTTATGGTGAAACCAGTTTTCTTATGGTTGTTTAAATTCTAGAACAATATGTCACTATTATAGAAAGATATGTTGCTATTGTGAAACTAATATAGTGTTATGTCTATATTCTTATGAAATTAAAGTGTTATATATATTTTTTTGTTAATTAATTATGTGAATCTGTGATACTAAACCGATCCAATCCGTGTTTAAATGGATTGGTTTGAATTGGTTTCATGATTTAAATGGATTGGATTGATTTCAATTTTTCTAGAACTATTGATAACGGATTGGTCTTGGTTTTACCTCAATCCGGTCCAATTCGGACCATGCTCGCCCCTAGATTTATTCATTTAAATATCAATTATAAAATAAATTTTAATTATTCAATAACAAAAAATTAAAGCCTCATTTGACAACTCAGTGCTTTAGCCTAAAAATCAAAAAATTAATAAAAAAAACTAAAAAGCCAGCAATTGATACCAAAAAATCAAAAGATCTCTTTTGTTTCTACTTTTTGCATATTTTTTCATATAAAATTAAAAAGTCATTCCAAACATACTAATTTTTTTTACTAAAATAATATGTTCCCAAACAAGGCCTAATTGCTTCAATAAACTCTTTTTATTACTACATAAAAAGTAAAAAAAAAATAAAAAAGTTCAAACAAAATTGAGTTATGAGGCAACATTACCTTCAAAATAAAAGAAATTTTTTGTGTGCAAAACGAAATTAAAATTGAAATAAAAATACTAGGTTGTACGAGAAATTTTCATATAAAAAAAAGTTGTATGTTTTTTGATTTTTTTTTTTTTGTTTAAGTAGTATATTCTGTGCGCTTTCCACCTTTCTCATCATTTGGTGAAGTATCTCTGTATTTTTTTTAATGATATTATGGCTCATTTTTTCATTCAAGGAAGAACTCTTCCAGTGTTAAGGTTTGACTCCCATGGAGCTAGACCACAAACAAGGGTAACCTCTGTGATTGTACAATTGTTGCTGTGGATTTTTTTTTTATATTTAAAAATATATACATTGGAATACAAATACAACTTTTGAAATAAAAAATCAGAAAGAACTTACGCACGCACGTACGTTGGGAGAGTAAAAACCCTTGATTTTCTAGTGAGATAGAAGATCAAGTGCTTCGGCTAACTGGGTATATCAACGGGGGTTATGCTCTAGCAAAGTGGGGTTATGGAGCCAACCAACCAATACTTCTTGCTTTTACTTCCAGACCCCTTGTATGTCCCCCTATTATACGTTACTCAGCACAAGAAACCAAATAACCCAATAATGGATAGGAAAATCTACAGGAAGTGTTGTTCTGTATATGGTTCACGGTTTCCAAGATTCACTGAATTACAGAACATGAGGTATTACTTGTTAGAACAATCTTCTGTGTAAAAAAAATAAATTGAAACTAAATCAAACAAAATAAAATAAATAACTTACAGAATTTATTTTATTGAACCGAATGAAAAATAAAAGACCAAGTCGAGTGTGTGACACTCTGTTCTTAAGACAGATTCGCCCCACTTCGGTGCTTACGGACTAATGGCGTCTATCTCCCAAGATATAATTATCTTCACAAATTCATAGTAGCACTCCAAATAAACTTGTCCGGCGAACTAGAACCTTGTGTTCTATACTCTCTTTAATTTTTCTCTAAAACTAGAATGAAGAATAAATAATGCAAACAGAGCAAAGTTGGACAGCAAGAAAATCAATTTTTTCTGTCTATTTTCTGGATGCAAAGACTGCAGAATAGATCTAAATTTATAGGCATCTAAAACTGCCGAACAGGTGCAGTATTTTGAACTGAACAGGTAAGGTTTCAAATGAACAGGTGCAAACACCAATTGACCAGATAACTGCTGGAAATAAGATCTGTTTGAACTGTGTAAACCTATCGAACAGTGCAGATTCAGAACTGTAACTGCTGGGTAGTTATGAGCAGTTTTATGCAGTTAATCTGTTGAAAATACCGACTGAATTTGGTAATATATGGACAGAAAATTAATTTTAATTTTGACACAAAATTGGAATTTAATTTCATTAAGATTTTCTGGAAAAAATTCAAATAAATTTTATCCAAAAAATTAATATCAGAACCGACCCACAACCGCGCACGGCTCGGCTTGGCCGGACGGACGGCGGCGCGCGTGTGGTAGTTTGGGCTAAGGTTCCATTTGTCCATAACTCCTCCCTTCTACAAACTTGAGGTGCCCCTTGGGGCCCAACCCAAGTGTTGTAGTCTAGAGCTTATATACAACAAAAAAACTTTCTTAAAGTTTCAATGTGGGACAACCCATTTTAAGGAAATCCACATTTAAATCTTTAAATGTCCATTCCACGAACCCGAAAATAACGTCAACTTCTCATTCACTCATAAATGGTTTTGACGAACCGTCTTCACCGTGTGTCTTGCCACGCGGCAAGGAACACGTCACCTCTTTAGACCCACCCCAAAAGACGTTTGGAGCCCATTCCATTTTGGGCTCAAAGTTGGCCCAAAATAAGCCTTATAAACCAAATTTTCCAACATTACTCGTATTTCAGGACGACAGCTTCAAGAATACCATCAGATCTGAAGTGGGGTGAAAAAAGCCTTGGATCAACAGGTCCTGGCAGACTGAAGGAAAGTGTGAATGGACCGGGTGGGCATTGTTGCTGAAATTTCATTTCATAAATGCGGGAATGTCTCAAAACAGTTTTACCACCAGTTGATGTCACACCCCGTACATGGACCTTCCCATCACGTTCAATCTCATAGCTGAACTGACCTGCTAGAACAGATGCTATCAAGTTCTTAGAAGTAAACACAGAGTCTCGTAAAGAAAGCCACCAAAAGAGCAAAGAAAAAGATTTTTTAGATCACTCAAATGAAATACAATTACATTATCCCAAATGCAAGACAGATTTTGGTTTTAACTCGTGAAAGACTAAAAATAGAAGATCATGCATACCATGTGTGTACATGCTTCTTGAAGCAAAAGAGTAGTCATAGTTATTAACTAAATTTAAATGGTCTAATGCAAAAACAAAGATAAACTAAGGATAAATGCACCATAAAGAAATTGTTTATCCACTCCCAAGGCATACGTAAATGCACCAAAGTACGTTCTGAAAAATAAACTAAGCATAAATGCACCATAAAGCAATTGTTTATTGACTCTCAAGACATACATAATTGCACCAAAGTATGTTCTGAACAAATAATTTCAAACTATCCTGTTTATAGATTCCACTGCAAAATTTTAGTAAACAAATTGACCACATGCTGAAGACGAATCTCGTGAATCTCTTTCTATAAATGTTGTCTAGATAACTCCAGCACTTCTATTTTACTGCTGGCCTTTCGGGAATAATCCAAACCTAAGTACATACTAAGCAAGTTGACCCGCTGGAGACAAACCTTGTGATTCTCTTTCTATAAAGGTTGTCTAGATAATGCCTGTCATAAAAAATAAAAACGAAACCCATAACTAATTAGTAGGCTCCATAATTTCCAAGAATGTAGATCCATTAACTGGCAGTGCCATTTTTCATCCAACAATTGTAAACCTTGTGGCGCAGCATAGTGTTCTTACCACCTTCTTTGCAGATTTTTTTCCGGTGGAGTCAAGAGAGTTCCTTACACAGTCTTATCAATCTAAATAACATGTTTGGCAGATATGTAGTTTTATGCAGAATAGTAAGCCTAGGCTGCTGTATATTCATCCTTACAAGATGTTTTGGTGGTCTGTGTAACATGCAGTTCCATACCATAAAAAATAACGTGCTTATAGTCCTTTGAGTGTCTGGCCATGCTCATGCCTAGATTTGTTGGCATGTATGTAAGTTTATGTAGTATATGACGTCCTACTTCCTCATAGGTTTTGTCCTTTCTTGGTTTTGTTTTGAGTGCAGTTTTCTAAGTGATTTGTATATGCACACAGAAGTTTAGTTTCTAGGCTTCAGTTTTTATATAGGGTTTTCGCCCCTTTAAGGTGGTTTTGGTAATAAATTTATGCTTACAAAAAGAAAAAAGGCCGTCTTGCTTGCCAAATAGGCAATATTTTAAGTTTTTAAAAAATTTAGAACAAAGCAAGGGAAAGGAAACACTATCCAAGAGAAAATTGCTTGAAAGCATTATATTGTTACAGGCATCAGTTGCAATTACGTTAAATGCACTAGATCAAAGTGTCAGGTGTACATGGTTGTCTCCAGGAATCAGACTCCTGCCCAAATGACATAGATACTTCAGCAGCATAAAAATATTTCTGCCAGAAGATGCAAAAACACACAGGGTAGCCCAATGCCTTGGATTCCTTGCACTGGATAGAAAGAACATGTCTTCTCATCCTTAGATGCAATAGAATCTTTTTGACCCAGTTCAGCATTAAGAAAAACTTGGATTTTTAATCCCCTGTAACTTAAAGGAGTTGCCTTGTTGGTAAGCAAGGACTATTAAATAGTACGACAATTAATGTTATCATAATTTCTCTATAAATATAGCAAAAATTTAAGAAAAAGAGAGAAACAAACCAGGATCCTTTCTGACCCCAGGCAGAGCAACTTGAAAAAAATAGGCAGATTTGCTAACACCAATGTCCACAGCTCCAACAGCTGGTACAGTTCCCCCTCTTGTAGCTGTTCCAGTCAAGATAACAGATGCCTTTGAATTAGACTGTGACGCATTTGGAACCGGTAAAAGGGGCATCATGAAGGGCCCATCCAAATTGCTTGTACTTGGGACCAGTGACGTTTCAAAAGGATCACAATGCTGCCCTTTTTCCATTTCATGTTGAAACTTTGCCGATGAGTTTCCATTTGCAAGCGAATCTTTTCCTTCCATGGTCTCCCACAACTTGTTCATATAACCCTCTTAACCTTCTTCTCTAAATCTCTGGTCAAAGTGTTATGAATTTGGAATTCCGAGAGTTAAACTTGAAATTATATCTCCCAGCTAAGCGTTTAACCTTTCAATGCTAGCCTCTTTCATATAAAATTAAGTTGATCATGAATAATAACAATCAACAAAATCTTGGGCCAAAGTAAAAGAACCGAAATATAGATAAAAAACTCAGTCCCTAGCCAAAACTTAATATTAAACTAAGAAGTATGGACACAGACACGTGACACGACACGGATACGCCGACACGTTAATTTTTAAAAAATACTAACCACGACACGTGTGGAACACTCATGAAATATATAATTTTATATATTTATTATATGTTATATATATAAATATAAGTTATTAATTTAAGATTTATTAGTGCATTACCCTGAATTAAATGTTATTCGTCATTTTAATCTATTTTATATTCTTCTAAATTTTAACATAAAAAAAAATATTTCACTTCGCAGACGGGGCCTGTTTTCTGCAGAAACAAAAACAGAGAGCTAGAGAGAGAGAGAGAGAGAGAGAGATGCATTTGAGCGAGAACGAGGGGATAGAGGGTCAAACCTTCGTGGTAGCCGGAGGGCTTGGATTTGTTGGGTCTAGTCTTTGCTTGGAGCTCTTAAGAAGGGGTGCTCACCAAGTTCGGACCTTTGACCTTTGTACCACTTCTCCCTGCTCCCATCATCTCCTCAACAAGGGAGTCCACTGCATCCCAGGCATCTCTCTCTCTCTCTCTCTGGTCTTCTTTCTTTTTTCTTTTCTTTTTTTGTTTCCCTGAAAATGATGAATCAGGATCTTGAGTTCCGTTTCTGCCGAACAATTCTTTGATTACTTGATTCAGGATCATTGTGTCGGATTTTTAATTTATACATACATACATACATACATACATACATACATACATACATACATACATGTATTAGAATACTGATCCAAGTAAAGTAATTAGTCAAGTTAAAGATGGATTGTTGCCCTCAATGAGATCCAGTGGATTGTCTGTTCTGGTAACTCTGAAAATGAGGAAAATAAAATAAATAGATTAATTTTTGAATCTTGCAAATTGTGTTGTTTTGTTTCCCAGAAACAGATGATCCGAGTAGTGAAATTAAATTTTTTTTAAGTTGCTCTTTTCTTTTCCTCATCTTTCTCAACAACCAAATGAAGCACTTGGAAGCTTCCGCCAGATGCAATATTTTCTTCCTTCTCTTGCATATTTAGTTCATAACATAGTCCACACACTGTTTTGAATCTACAAAACATGATTGCTTCAGAATTTGTTTAATAAAACTAATATGTGCTGTATGACTGTATCTCACACACATTTGCTTAGATTGCCTGTCACACCCAGAACTCACCCCTAAAAGTTTGGGCATGACCACCTCAGAAAACAGACATAAAACCTGATGAATATAATCTATGGGGCCTGAACGGAAGCGTTTAATAGTATATAATAGCGTAAAAAGAATAATAGTAATATCCATTGAGCTACCACTACTATGCCAGGATCACAATCAGATCATAATGCAGATAAATATACAATGACGTGCATCTGAAGATAGCTAAGTACATATACATATACGCCGATCTTAACAGACATTTAGGGTACAAATTAAAACTTAGCAAAACTCCATGACTTGAACGATCAACATCTAAGAGCTTAGATACTCAGGGTTTGACAACTGGGTAACAAAAGCCACAAGTGAAGGTTGATCTCCAGGTTGAGTGCCTACAAAAACAAACATAAAACAGAGTGAGTCAAGCTCAGTGAATAATAATACATAACAATTCAATGCTCAACCTGAATTATAATCCATATCCGTGTGTTTATCAATAAAGAGAACATATGGTTTATTTGTTTCTGTATGCATAGCAAAGTATCTTTTTCAGAAAACTTGTCATATCTTGAATATTCAGAGTTTCATAGTGCATCTAGGCATCTTGGGAAAAATTATCCAGAAAGCATATCATATTATAAACATATCATAAGTTCATAGCGTTTTTCTCATTTCAGAAATTACTTATCATATGAAACATTTCGTAACTCCAAATACGGATTTCATCAAAATCATTTATACTTTAAGTATCTTTTACGGAACGGCCTTGGGCCTAATCTTAAACACAGTGGCTTTAAGCCCTTAACATAACGGCTTGAAATCCTTAATAAAGTGGCATGAAGCCTTTATCAGAACGGCATAAAACCCTTGAAACACATTGGCATTAAAGCCTTGAAACATATGGCATAAAAGCCCTTGGAACATCTGGCACAATAGCCCCTTGAAACAGATGGCATAAAAAGCCCTTGAAAGATGGCATATAGCCCTTGAAAAGTTGGCATGAAGCCCTTGGAATGGCATAAAGCCCTTGTAACTTGGGATGGCATAAAGCCCTTGGAATAGCATAAAGCCCTTGTAACTTGTGATGACCTAAAGCCCATGAAACTTGTAATGGCATAAAGCCCATGAAACTTGTAATGAGAATGATTTCAGTCTTCTTAAAGTATCAGTATGCAATAATGCACATAAGTTTCCCATGGCCTGATTACAAATTAATACAGGTGTCTCGCGAACAACTGAATAATAATAATCGCAACAATTATTAACTGAGGCCACATAATACTAGTAAACATTGCATGCGTGTCATAGGTTCTTGATGACCTCGGGTCCATAAGTAAAACAATAGAATAATCTCAGTTTCATAAGAGGAGTAGGATATCCCTACCTCAAATTCAGAGCTCCAAGGGAGAAGAATGACCCGAAATCAAAGTGCTCCAAATCCCAAATTTCTTGGATCACAACGAAGCCCTCGACGATCAACACACTTCTTACAAAGGCCCAAGGCGAGGAAAACACTCTAGCTAGATCAATCCTAAGAGAGAAGTTAGGTTTTAGAGTGAGGTGCTCTCCAATGGCTTTTTTGGAAAAGTAAGAGAGAGAAGGGAAATCAAAAAGTGATTCAAAAAGCTGACTCTCGGTGTGTTATACAGGTCTCCCCGCTCGAGCGCCAAAAACCCAGCTCGAGCGTCACTCACAGACTCCCGCTCGAGCGCCAAAAACCCCGCTCGAACGGCGGATACAACCATCCAGAAGTTTTGCAGAACAGGCCCTTGCTCGAGCGTCCAACTCCCCGCTCCAGCGTCTCACACAAACTCCCGCTCGAGCATCAAACCTCACGCTCGAGCATCCAACACAACAGAGGAAATACTGGGAAGATGATTTTCCCGCTCGAGCTCCGAAACCCCCGCTCGAGCGGAGAGATCAAAAACTGGGCAAAGATTCTAGGTTTTTGAACACAACCGACTTATTCCCAACAAGACCAACACAACCCAAAACTATAAGATAAAGAGTAAGGGACGGAAAAGAGGGTAAGACAACAACAATTCTACGGAATCGAGTCCGGATTGCAGTTCAATAACAACAGGGAATATCGGGATCGCTATAACATTCGTCATTTTAATCTATTTTTTATTCTTCCAAATTTTAACATAAAAAAAAATAATATTTCACTTCGCAGACAGGGCCTGTTTTCTGCAGAAACAAAAACAGAGAGACGGAGAGCTAGAGAGAGAGAGAGAGATGCATTTGAGCGAGAACGAGGGGATATAGGGTCAAACCTTCGTGGTAGCCGGAGGGCTTGGATTTGTTGGGTCTAGTCTTTGCTTGGAGCTCTTAAGAAGGGGTGCTCACCAAGTTCGGACCTTTGACCTTTGTACCACTTCTCCCTGCTCCCATCATCTCCTCAACAAGGGAGTCCACTGCATCCCAGGCATCTCTCTCTCTCTCTCTCTCTCTCTCGGGACTTCTTTCTTTTTTCTTTTCTTTTTTTGTTTCCCTGAAAATGATGAATCAGGATCTTGAGTTCCGTTTCTGCTGGTCTGTGTAACATGCAGTTCCATACCATAAAAAATAACGTGCTTATAGTCCTTTGAGTGTCTGGCCATGCTCATGCCTAGATTTGTTGGCATGTATGTAAGTTTATGTAGTATATGACGTCCTACTTCCTCATAGGTTTTGTCCTTTCTTGGTTTTGTTTTGAGTGCAGTTTTCTAAGTGATTTGTATATGCACACAGAAGTTTAGTTTCTAGGCTTCAGTTTTTATATAGGGTTTTCGCCCCTTTAAGGTGGTTTTGGTAATAAATTTATGCTTACAAAAAGAAAAAAGGCCGTCTTGCTTGCCAAATAGGCAATATTTTAAGTTTTTAAAAAATTTAGAACAAGGCAAGGGAAAGGAAACACTATCCAAGAGAAAATTGCTTGAAAGCATTATATTGCTACAGGCATCAGTTGCAATTACGTTAAATGCACTAGATCAAAGTGTCAGGTGTACATGGTTGTCTCCAAGAATCAAACTCGTTCCCAAATGACATAGATACTCCAGCAGCATAAAAATATTTATGCTAGAAGATGCAAAAACACACAGGGTAGCCCAATGCCTTGGATTCCTTGCACTGGATAGAAAGAACACGTCTTCTCATCCTCATATGCAACAGAATCTTTTTGACCCAGATCAGCATTAAGAAAAACTTGGATTTTTAATCCCCTGTAACTTAAAGGAGTTGCCTTGTTGGTAAGCAAGGACTATTAAATAGTACGACAATTAATATTATCATAATTTCTCTATAAATATAGCAAAAATTTAAGAAAAAGAGAGAAACAAACCAGGATCCTTTCTGACCCCAGGCAGAGCAACTTAAAAGTATCCTTACACAACGCAACATAACATAAAATCACTTCCTACTTGGATCTTATAAAGGGTCATCTATATACCCCTCTACTGGTTTCAATTTAAGTGGTTAATGAAACATATCGTCTTGCAGACTCTGACATCTTGCTTAGTATGTGTGCTTCTTACTTCTTTAACTATATTTTTATGACTCTTGTTGTTCTTGGTTTCAAGTTTCAACTGGTTTGAAAATTAAATAAACAAATAAATTGTCACTTTTATGTATTAGCAAATGGGTTGGTATGTGTCAAGCATCTACTAACATGAATATGAAATTTTCCATAATATATTTTTGAACTATAGAAGTAGCATAGAGAACAATGTTGTGATCTATTAAATAGAGGTTAAAAGAGTATGCATAACTTGTGATCCTAACAAGACACCTTAAATAAACATGAAAAAGCAGTACCTTGAACAGTGTAAAAATGATTCTGATGTGCATTGCCTCAAGCAGATCTATAAGACACTGCCTTTGTTTAGAAAAGTCATTCAACTTTCTTATGACTCATTGAATTCCCTTCTTTAATCTTGCAAATCCCAGCAATCTGAGTAAGAAGACAGTGTTTCAGATGCAATTCTTACTAGACCCCTACTACAAGTACAGGGTTCTTTGTGGAAATTATTGTTGACTGTTGAGAACTTCATCTTAGTTGTTTTCTCTCTTCAATTTACTTATTCAGGTTATATTGAAGAATTATGCATTCTCACTTTTCAAAATTTTGTTTGTTATCTGGAAAATAGCATAAGAAAGTCAAACTCAGATTGATGAAAATATCCTCCCTTTTTCAGATTTGCAGTATCAAGTTCTTTGCTCCTTTAGAGAAAGAGAATCTACACATGAATTTCAATGCTTGACCTGACCTCGTCTAGTTTGTAAGATTCTGATTTATGTACGATGTTTCTATGCTATGTAGGAAGAAGAATGGAAATCTCTATACATGCGCAATTCGTCCGGCTGCTATCTATGGACCAGGTGAGGAGAGACATCTCCCCCGCATTATAAATCTTTCGAAGTTAGGTCTGCTGCCATTCAAAATTGGTGAAGAAAGAGTGAAGTCAGACTGGGTTTATATAGATAACCTTGTTCTGGCCCTAATATTGGCTAGCATGGGACTCTTGGATGACATTCCCCAGAGGGAAGGACGTCCAATAGCTGCTGGTCAACCATACTTTATATCAGATGGTAATATTCAATCCATTTGCTTAGAAATATTTTACTTATTTCGTGGCAACTAGAGCTATTAAAGTTGAGTAATGCTATACAAACCAACACAACTTACAAAGTCACATGATTTGTACCTATTATATTATTTGAGTGGGTCCCATTTCAAATACCGAAGTCTGCGTGTCACATATCTGTGAGAAAAGTTAGTAAGATTTGTTAGTTTGTATAGTATTGTCCATTAAAGTTATTGATTAACCCTTGATTCCAAGGAAGGACTACTTGAATGTGAAAAACTGGTTAGTGACTGGAGTGATCTGTGTTTAATATTTAACTGTTTTCCATGCAATGGTTTAATATTAGGCAATGATTTACAGGGTCTCCAGTCAACAGTTTTGAATTCCTTCGCCCACTACTCCAGAGCCTGGAGTATGACCTGCCAAAGCGGTCATTAGCTGTCTCTCATGCTCTTGTTCTGGGAAGGATATTCCAGTTGGTCTACACTATCTTATATCCATGGTTGAACCGATGGTGGCTTCCTCAACCATTGATGCTTCCTACTGAAGTGCACGAGGTTCACTTCTAAATTACCTCGTTTTTTGGTTGAATATAATTGTAGACTTGTAAAGCATTCCTTACTGCTTACAAAAACAACAAACATTGGGTCTTGGGGGTGGGCTCCCTTCAAGGTTCAGGGATCAAAACCTCTTAGGTACTAACAATTCCTTGGGGCCACCGAACTAGGGAAAAACCCTTGAATTAATGGTGGTGCACTTGAAGGAAACTCCTTGCCGAGAGCCTGTGCATCCCTAGGGATTAGTCGGGCTGTGATCCTCACACCTAGTGCCAATCCAAAAATAAAATAAATCAGAGAGAAGGGTTATCTCCCTTATATTAGGGGTTTTTTCCCATATATTATAGTAGTACAGTCTAAAGTACAAAAGTGTCCTTACACAACGCAACATACCATAAAATCACTTCCTACTTGGATCTTATAAAGGGTCATCTATATACCCCTCTACTGGTTTCAATTTAAGTGGTTAATGCAACATATCGTCACTTTGATGCATACCTCCTATTGCCACTCGGCAGTTTCCTAAAATTCTGCAGTTCTCACTTGGCCTAGTTGCAATTGATCCTGTACCTTCCCACATGGTTTACCATAATTCCTTCCACCCCATCTCAACACCCACATTTCCAGACAAACTTGAAACATTCTCTAACATCTGTTGTTAGGTTTTGCAAGTTTCACTACTGTGTACTGAACCATATCTGATATATTTGTGTGTGTTTTATTTCTTGACAGGTTGGGGTTACTCATTACTTCTCTTTCCTAAAAGCAAAGGAGGAGCTTGGCTATGTCCCTATGGTGAGTCCTCAGGAGGGCATGGCCGCAACCATATCATATTTTCAAGAGAGGAAAATGAGAAGTTTGGACGGGCCTACAATATATACATGGATGTTTAGTGTAATTGGAATGACTTTGCTATTTATTGCTGCATATTGGCCAGCTTTCGGACCTGTGTCGCTTTTAAGAGATTTCTGTCTCTTCTTCTTCCGGTCTATGTGGGTAATGAGAATGGTGTTCATTTTGGCTACAGCAGCTCATATTGGAGAGGCTATGTATGCGTGGCATCTGGCAAAAAAAGTGGATCCTTTGAATGCAAGTGGCTGGTTTTGGCTTCTTTCATTGCGTTTCCTGTTGAAGAGAGCCAGGAAGTAAGTTGGAGCATCTATTGTTGATATAATCTTTTTAGCAGCTGTATTTACTACTGTATAAGGGCAGTTCCTTCATAGGCAGTAAAATAGGACACAGCTAGGGGTTTAGATTTTTTTGGTAGTGTTGAAAAATGTGATCAGAGATCCTCTTTTTATTTCTATGAACAACCACTGTGTCTCTATCAAAGGAGATTTGATTTGATTTGATTCGATTTGCTGGAGTATCTAAAGCCCGAAGTGAATTCGCCTAGTTTGAACTTTGATTGCTGAGAAAACAGGTATGTAAAAAGAGTAGATCTACCTCTGCTAATTTGCCCTGACCCAGCTCAGCTCTTCGACCTCAAGCCCAGGGCTAGTAAGCTGAGAAACCATGCTGTTTGCCTGGGTGTTAACAAGATGGGATTAATGGGCTGGAATTTGAGTTTGAGCAAGCACACCTAGGAGCCTCAAAATGCATCCTTTAAAAATATTAATAATAATAATAATAATAAATTATTGGACATTCCACCTTTCATAATTTTGTTTAGAGTAATGCTCTATAGAAACAAATTTTGTGTTAAAAAATTCATACAAATGATGTATCTTATTTGTATCTTGTTTTTTGAGGAATCTCATTTATATCTATTTATGGGGAGTTGACATATCCATCATTTAAGTATAAGAATCTTATTATCACATCATTCTTTTCTTAAATTTTGTGACAAAATTTTGTTTGAATATCACTCCTCTTTAATATCATTTTACCAAGTTAAATTATTAAAAAGGACAAAAAAATCCTCCCTAATTACGGCCAGTCCCTACCTAGATCTTCCTGTCATGGCCCCACGCTTTCCCATTGTTCGGCATCAACCAGACACCTCCCCAACTTACCACCACCCTATCCCCTTCTCCCAACCAATCGCACTCACCTCCCCTATTGCAAATCGACTTATCTCTCCTTTCTGTGCAATTCTATCTCTCTCCCTCAAGGCTCTCTAATGGCAATAGTGGGGGTTAGGGTTCAAGTCTGAGAGGGAGGAGGTGGCGTTGGCAGGACGGATATGTGGAGGGTGTGTAAAGGTAAGGTGAACTAATTTTGGGTGCATCAAACAAAAATCAACAAAATTTAAATTTGAGTGTCGAAAGGTACAGGATATCCAACAATTTTTTCGTGATACGTTTAGATACTTCCATTAAATATTACCTCTGACAAACTATGCCACCCAAAACAACTGGGAAAGCAAGACAAAGGCATTGAAATGGTCACAAGTTCTGCAACAAATCTTGGATGAAGAAACTGCAATTTACTAGTACGACAGTATTAACCAAGCAAAAACTACCAGGAGAAATGGGCTAGAATCATTAAGGAAACCTAAAACTTGATCACTGGAGAAACAAAACAAAGGAGACAGTTTGGTACCATTTAAATCTAATGGACAACAACAGAGACTCTACTATTCTCAACAAAAAATAAATTAAAAATAAAAAAAAGAGACTACAACAGCCAAAACACCGACATACTACAATCACCATGAGCTATTCTATAGAACCTTGCTAACACAAGTAATTAATAACTTATCAACACAATTGGAGAAGGGCACCAACTGTCACTACAAGGTTGGCTACTCCTAACAAGACCAAGGTCACACTGCAAAGTCAAGTCACCAGTTGTCTTTATTCTGCACCACTAAAATTACACAACGCGTGCACTTAACTTACAAACGGGGTCTCTCAAAGGGTGAACAAAAGCCAAGCTCCACAGAAAGATCACCTCCATGGCATGGTCAACATGCCTTGGGGGTTACTGTTGTTGTAAGCTCCTGTGCTGTGGTTGAGTGGGCTCCCAGGTCCACCAGATGACTCACTAAGCGGCCCATGCGATGGCGGGCTGGTAGCACCTGTTGCACCACCACCACCACCACCAACTGGGAAGAGCTTTGATGGAGCTGACAGCTGTTCCATTTGATTTATTGCCTTTGATTCCTTGCCACCATCAGGGATGAAACTGCCCATAATCAACTACAATGGAGGAAACCCATTATTATAGTTGTCATTATACAGACACGGATGTGTGTTAAAATGGAACTTTGGTTGAGAAATGTCTAGTGGGTTGTTAAAACCTTTTTTTTTTTCCAATATTGATCAATAAAAATCCTTTTTTCTTTATTAATGAAAATACAAGATCTATATGTAATCAGCAAATTTGAAAGGTAATGGAAAGTATTTAAAAGGTGGAGCTGGCTTAAACTATCAATGACGAAGATAGTCAACAGGAAAATATATAATACAATAAATTACGAGGAAAATAAAAATCAGTTCTCATGCTGCAAAAGCAGAACAAATGGATGGGTGTGCTTTGTATGAATGGACTTCTCAAAACAAATAATAGGGTAGCATAGACAGAAATGTGGTATACTGATGACACAAAATGAAACCCTGATATGAAAAATTCTCAAAAAAATAGCATTCAGGAAATTATCAATGGTAAAACTATAAACATGCAGATGTATGTATGTAATGCACTCGTATGTAAATCAAAAAACAATATTTTTTTCTAGAATATTGATATGAAAACTATCGTTCTTTATTGGGTAAAGTGTAAGGTTGTTTGTGAGTCAGGCAGCTGGACCTCCCCTGCCATTAAATATCTACTGTTGAAGTTAATGGACGAGGGACAAGATGATGATCCATTTACATTACAGGTAATTTTATTGTGGACGTCGATTTCCCCTTTTGTAATCAATTTTCTTACAACACCCAAGGATGGGGACCTACCGGTTTAGGTAAATATCTAATGCGTTCCCCCAACTTGAAACAAAAAATAATCAACAATTAAATCAGCTCATCTGTAAAACATGGGGTACACTGGATTAGAATAGAGGTATACCATTAACTTCATATGATTTTGAACTTTGAATGCAATGATGAAACAAGGGGCATGAATACATGAGTATAGGGTCTATTTCGTATCACTCTCATTTTGATGTTTCTGTTTCCATTTTTAATTTTTATTTGCATTTTTTATTTTCCAAAAACATAGATAATGAAAATTTGAAAAAACACCAATTTTCATTTTTGTGTATAAATAACTTTAAAAAAATTCAAAAAGCAAGTTAGAAGTGTTTCTTAGAAATGGGATGTTCTAAAATATAGAAGAAAAAAAAATCCGAACACAGTTGTCACAAATAGTTTGCCAAACAAGTTTTCCATGTCATTTTCCATTTCTTCTGTAATCTAGAACAGAAAACAGTATTCAAAAATGATACCAAATGCACCCTTAGTATCCGATATGAATGCAACACCGCAATAGAAGCACTTATGCTTCATAGGCAACCTTGGATACAAAAAAATGTTGTTGCAACTGCACAATATCACCTCATCAAACAATGGCCAGCTACCAGGGAATGAGTATACCTGTGAGTGTGTTGCATCATTTTGAAGCATAGCGAGCTTTTTTTTCATCAAAAGGGCTAGCTGGTCCAGCTCTAAACTAAAGGGAAAGATGTTTTCGAAAATGGTAATAGTGGTTTTTTGCAGCAGTGATATAAAATATCCAGTGCAAGAGGAACCACTGAATTCTTGGAAACAACTCCAAAAGGACAGCCTAATTTTAACTCAAACTTCCTGGATTTGTAATAGCGAGAGATTCATGCCATGCTTCACATTTGACTATGAATTGGAATTTCTAATTGTTCCAACTTAGCAAGGCTATTGAGCCTCCGTTTGGGAAGTGGGTTGGCTTTTTGGTTTTTTTAGCTTTTTTGGCTATTTTAGCCTGGGCTAAAAAGCTTGGTTTGGGAAGGGTTTTTTGGCTTTTTTACTTTTTTAACTTTTTTTGTGAGAGAAAAGTGTAATAATTATGGGTTGGATGTGATGTTTTGTTTGTTGTAA